CTCACACACACACACACACACACACACAAACACACACTCACACACACACACCTCGGCATCATCAACTGAGATGATACCAGCACAGTACTTTTTATTACATTTGAATAATTTAATGCATATTTTAATCATAAACACCTGTCTATGTAATAATAGATAGAATGGTTTATCAAACATGTCACTGCAAACCTCATTTGAAAGATATTTTGTGAATAAATCTGATGTTCTGCCGTCTCTGCTGTGTGTTTGTCTTCAGTCAGCTGTCAGATATGGTTTGCATTCCCTGCATCGTCATTCCTGTGCTGCTGTGGGTTTATAAGCGCTTCCTGGAGCCCATCATCTATCCCTTCATCTATCCCTTCATCAGCCGCTTCTGGAGGAAAGCAGCCGTGCAGGAGACTCAGAAACACAGCACTGTAAATCAGCATTCAGCATTCAGATCTCACTCAAATCACAGCTTCACAAACCTTACAGCACTAGTTTCTAAATATTCAGTATTAATATATATATATATTTTTTTATTTATATATATATATTTAATTTATTTATATATATTTATTTATATATATATTTTTAATAATATATATATGTTAAAAAAAAATTCTCACTACTGTAGTGTACAACAAAATTCATACTTCATCAAAGATCACAATGCGAAACATGGAAATATAATTAAAACTAGAAATATATATATATATATCCTAATGGGAATTACATATTTAATTTCATTTGTTTATTTAATTTTTTTAAAATATTTATTGCGAGGTGAAATATAACCTGGAAAAGAGATTCAGTCATGTATTTTAGTCGTCTTGTCACGTTAATAAAAACGTTCCTTCATTTTTTTCCCTTTCACTTTGTCCATCACAAGCACACCGTGACATCAAACATCACATCTCTGTAAAGGATGATATAGAAAGTATAATAATCACCCGTCACATTGAGACGTTCCTGTCGTGACCAGAAGAGGCCGCTGTCGTCTCTCGCGCTGCACTATAACAACAAACCAACCGCTTTTGTTGTTCCTATTGAGAATAAAAGACGGATGAATTCAAATGGAAGAAATATGACCGATTTTCATTCATCAGTTGCACAACAAGTGGTTAAAAAACATTAAAGCAAAGCATTCTGGGAACGTTGAATACAGTCGTCCGCAGTCCCGATGTTTCCTGAATTAGTCTGCGACTGATCGGAGAGTGTTTGTGGGGAAACTGTTCTTGGGAGGAAGGTTAGCTGAGATTTCGTGAAACTCTTGATCCCGTGACGTTCGTCTTCGTCTCATTCCATCCAGTCGACCTCGTCGAACTCGTCCTCGTCCTCGGAGTCGCTGTACTCCACCGCGATGCGGCGCGACAGGATTGTGGCCACGTCGTTCCCCACGCGCTCGTGTTTGGCCTCTTGCTCCCGCTGCTCCTCCACCTTCCTCAGCTGGATCCCTGAGAGACACACCGAGGTAAAGCTCCTTATGTTTGCATTCACATTT